AGAAAGAATTATCTATAGCAGTTTTTTTTAAAAAAAAAAATTGTTAAAAGTATTACATATGTCCGCTTTTATCCCCCAATGACTTCTTCTTGACCACCCCTGTCCCACCCCCCACAAGGCCTTCACCAGCTATCTTTGGCAATTTTTAGATTTCAAAGGAATGACTTCCAGGCCCTTGAGAAAGACATTCCTGGGTTGTAAAACTGTCCAGAACTAGGAGAAGACTTACATTTCCATGGGGCACAGAAAGAATTATCTATAGCAGTTTTTTTTAATTGTTAAAAGTATTACATATGTCCGCTTTTATCCCCCAATGACTTCTTCTTGACCACCCCTGTCCCACCCCCCACAAGGCCTTCACCACCCTATTGTGTGTGTCCATGGGTTATGCATATATGCATGCAAGTTCTTTGATTGATCTCTCCACCCACCCCAGCCTTCCCTCTGAGCTTCCAGTCTGTCCATAGCAGTTTTTTAAAGTGCTCTAAGACAAGGGACCTCAGGGCCCTATAGTCAGGAAGAAACCTGTAAAGTTGAATAGAGTTGAGGTGAATGTCAAGGCATCTTGGTCATAACTACCTATTGGTAATTCAATGTTTCTTCAGGTAATATTTAACCTCATGTTTAATCTAAGAAACAGTCTCATATTTAACCGGGTATGTTTAGACAAGGATTATTTGATGGTGTGAGGCTACAGAAATGTCTGCCTGTGGCTCTCTAGTGTCACATGTCAGAGAATGTCTTCTAAGTATTAATTCTATGTGTCTTTTATTCCACATGTTCAACAAACCACATGTCAATACATGGTCATTTAGTGCCAAGAAATTCTGCTTTTAAAAGCAAACAGTCTTCTTCTACCTTAACATTTTGACACTCTGTGTTATGGTTGTTATATACAAAATTATCAGATCTAAAAACATAAGTGGATAGATTTAAACTACAAAAAATTAAATTTTGGAAAATAAATTTTATGATAATATTTGTCCTAGGACTCTCATTGGTCCCATTAAAAAGGTTTTTTTTAAGCATATTTTTATTTCTTTCAGAGAGGAAGGAAGAGAGAGAGAGAGAAACATCAATGATGAGAGAGACTCATTGAGCAGTGCCTCCTTCAGGCAACCACGGCATGTGCCCTGACCATGAATCGAACTGTGACTCCTGGTTCATAGATAGATGCTCAACCACTGAGCAATGCTAGCCAGGCTCCATTAAAAAGTTTTACATCAAAAGGCAGTATGTTCTCAGTAGTATTCTGTCATTAGTTATGCTCTTAAAATAAACTAGAGGCCCTGTGCATGAAATTCATATAAGGGGAGGGGGTGTCCCTCAGCCCAGCCTGAACCCTACTGCAATCCGGGACCCCTCAGGGGATCCCCACAAGGATCGGGCCTAAA